AAGGATGTGAGGGGGAAAGCAAGCCTATACTACCCTGTATGAAAAGTGCAGGTAAGAGGAGCACAAGACAGAATTCTAGAAACAGTGTCCCCAAGAGTACACCACGCGTGCTCAGACAAGGTGAGAGTGTAAGCCTTCCTATATGAGGCGATCGATGACGAAAGGTTTGTATGTATGGCAGGCGAATAATCTGGTCTACCGTCTGCCTGCTGCTTACATTCAAGTGCAGAGGCCATGAGCTGCTATGAGACATTTCTTAGCCCATCACAGCCAAGCTGATTCTGCATCTTACCAGACAAGAAATCTTACAGGTAAGAAATCCCCAAACGCCCCAGATGAAGAGAATGCAATCCACCCAATGATATCCAGCACAATTGTCACAGAGAGAAAGGCAGACAGTGCTCTGTCCCTCATGCTCCTACGCACAACACCACTCATGTGGGGCACTGGTAAACTCCAGGAGGCTCCCGGGATGCTTGAATTTCCTATCTTCTCATTTTTCTCTGGAACTGCTCTTCCTTTTATCTCTAAGATAGAGGCTCATAGGTTCTTAGGAAGATGAAACAGCACAGCCAGGCTTACTGAAGGCATAAGCCTCTTGGCACTTTGCCACACCAGGACACTCTTCCCTGTTCTGGGTGATAGTAAGAGACCAGTGGCCCCACACTTACAAGCATAGCAGGCCACTTATAAGACTGCAGACCCATGAGGGCAATAATAACTAAGGCCACATGTATACCCCCACGCTAGAGATAGGATATTTGTGCTCTCCTGCTCACCTTGGAACATACTCAGGGATGGCTTCTTTCTTAGTGTGGAAAGTGGGGCATGAGGCTCAGACATGAGATACAGAGCTTTCCTAACATAAGCCTCGACTAAAGGCAGCTGTGGAGGGCTCATTCCAGGGCAGCGGGAGTTTCTAAAGATAATAAATGCAGCTTAAGCCAATATTTCAGCTTTTTTTTTTCCTTTTCTTTTTTAAGACCAGTAGAAACTCGAGGCAGGGAAGGGGGTAAAAGGGAGCATTGTAATATCCCATTTTTTTTTCAGCTAAAAGAAAATGTTTCAAAGGCTGCCAAACCTCCCTTTACTCCTCAAAGCTCCCGACAGCTGTCAGGACTAATGCCGCTTGAGGCTTAGGCCCTGGCAAGAAATGTAGCTGAGAACTTCGCTTTCTGCCTGCCAAGGGGTGGCTTTGTCCAGGGACCCAAGCCAGGGATTGCAGACCCCTGGCAAGAGCCAGGGACTGCCTGGAGTTAAGACATAGGAGGCCAGCCTCACTGCCTGAGAGGTGCTAAGGAGGATTAGAGTGCTAGAGGAAAGGGGGACATCAGAAAGAACTCACTTTGCAGCCATGGGAATGGACCTTTCTGTTCTGAGCTGGCCTTAGTCAACAGAAATACAGGGTGGCCCCACAGGGTGGCCGTGGCAGGATCAAATGCACTGTGGTGACCTCTCTAATGCAACAGAACATGATACAGCAAGACTTGAAACTGCTCAGAGATGCACACATGCTCAGGCAGGTGAGGCAAAAAGACAAATAAGGCTATGAAAGTACTGGGGCTAGACCCAATGTGAACTGCTTCTGAGCCGTTTAGAAACCAGGCCTAATGTACAGCAGTGGCAAGTACTCTGTCTCCAGGCAGTAACATGGGTGGCAACTTTTCTAAATGACAGTTTGGACTTTTTAAAAAGTACGGACATATAAATAAAAACTGATTTCCAACAGGAAAAATAAACCTCTCCTGTTTCTTTCTCCTCCTTCCATCCCTTGACCCAATTTTGTAAACCTAACTTTTGCATTGGTATAGCTGACTGATACCACGGGTCCAGAGCCTTACAACATTGTTTCCAGTGGAGCTTCAGCCCAAGAGAATCTGTGAGGTGAAAGGAAGGGCATTTTTTAGAGTATGTGCCATCCTTCCAACAGTCCAAGCTGACTGTACTAGATGTTACACAAAAACAGTGTGGCCAATCACAATGTGACTGTGTGTGTATGCAGTCCCATCAGCCCCAGAGCCAAGCCTTGGCTACTCAGAGAACTTCATTCACTTACTATCAGCCACAGCACCCATCTGCAGAGCCCCAGAACTCGAGACCACACAACCTACAGTACAAGCTCTCTGTCCTGATGATGCTGTCCACCTTGGAGGGAGACACTGAGAGAAAAATCCCCCCAAGGGGAACTGTCAGAAAAAATACCTAAAGATAAAATAATTTCTCTAGTTGTTCACTCAACAAACAAATCGAGTATCTTATATTAAGAGTTTGAACGTCTGTGATCTTCCAATATCCTTTATGTTGAAATCCAACATCCAGTGAGATGTTATTAGCAGGTAATTAAGCCTCGAAGGGCAGAAAGGGAGGGGGCCTTGTGATGGGACTAGCACCCTTATGAAAGGGACTCCAGGGAGCTCTCTTACCATCATTCTGCCATGAGGAGACAGCAAGAAGGCAGTATTATACAACCAGACCTAACAAGACCACCTTGGTGCCACACTGATCTTGCATTTGCAGCCCCCACAACTGCGTGAAACACAAAGCTGTGACATTCTGTTACCACATCTGAACAGGTTCAAACAGTAGCAAGATGCTTCCAGCAGCCATAAGTGTGTGGGAAAGAGCTGTCTTTTGGTCTCTGGCTATGGTCTCTGGTTGTAACAGCACAGAAAGAGGGGCCTGGGTGAAGGAGGCAGTCTCTGGGGTTATGTCTTTAAAGTCTCAATCCTCTCCCAGGCCTTTTCCTCTCTCTCTGCCTCCCACATGTCAGGTGAGGAGTTCTGACACGTCCTTCCTCTAATGATCTGCTTGCCGTGCACGAAAGCAATGCAATTGAGGTGACCATGAACAGAAAGCTCTGACATCACAGCCCTTAAACTGAGCCTTTGGATACCGGCTCTTGGGGTATTCCATCTGTATGTAAGTACCTTGACTTCCATCATACAAAGAACACCATCTCCTCAACTCCAGCAATAGTTCTTGACCACATGTCCCTAGTCTCTGGTGGTCCCTTTACATAACCACTGGCTACTTCATTACATGGCTCTCGAGTTCTAATCTAGCCAGTGGTTTATCTGGTCACCATCTCCTCTCCCTCCCAGGTCCAGCAGTTTGATTATACTCCTATCCCATTCTCCACAGTGCCCCTTCCTCTTCCTGCCTTGACCCACTCACTCACTCCTGCAGGAGCCACTCTGTCACTCTTCTCCAATGGAAGGCAGCAGGGCCATGGGTGATGGAAAAGGTCTGTGTTACACACTACCAGGTCTCAACAGGGCATACCCTCAGGGTCAAGATGATAACCCCGTATGAACAAAACTGGCAGGGCACTCTTTACAATTCCCATGGACAATACAGGTCTTTGACACGCAGTGCTAAGTTTTCTCAAGGTGTTCTGCTGTAACTGTTTTTCTATGCTGGCACCTGAAGGATTAGGCTTCTGAGTGATTCACACTGGGAAGAAACGTAGATAGAAAGGCTTGCCTCATCTACGCCTGCCTGCTCACCTCCAAATTTCACCCGATTTTAATGCCCAGAGCATTCACGCTCCACCTGTGGCGCCACTTCAGATCCCAGCAATTCCTTCTGTTGACATTCCATCCTCCGCAGCACAGAAAGGCATGTGATTTCCCCAATAGGAACAGGAGGATACAGGACTGTTCTCCAGCACTGGCCACAGAAGCCATCTTCCCAAGTCTTTCCAGACTTCTGTTCAGTTATGGACAAGAAGGTGATGCTGGTGTGCATAATTTCAAACTGATGCTTGGCGTATCACATCAGAAGGTAACCCACTTGACAAAAATGAATTCAAATGTCTTTCTCTAAGCAAGTCTGAATCTCAGTCATCAGTAGTTTAGAAATATCAAAGACCTGGCCAGTGAAATGTCCCAGTGGGTTTTTGATAGCCCTTCTGCATAGCCACTTACAGGGTACTTCATTGCACAGCTCCCTGGTTCTGATTTTGCCAATGGTATACCTGACCAACACCCCCTGCACCCTCCCAGGCCCATGACTAGGGCTTTGATTAGCTCCACCAAGACTACCTACCAGAGTTTGATCCCCAGAATGCATGGGACAGGAAGAAAAAAACAAGTTCTGTAAGCTGCCCCCCAACCCCACTCTACATGGCATGCATGACCTCCCCACAAAACACACACACACACACACACACACACACACACACACACACACACTTCCTCCCCATAACACAGGATAAATTATTATTATTTTTTTAGTTTAGTTTAGTTTAGTTTAGTGTAGTTTTTCAAGACAGGGTTTCTCTATAGACAATACTGGCCTTGAACTCATAGAGCTCAGCCAGCCCCTGCCTCCCATGTGCTAGGATTAAAGGCGTGCACCATGACCACCCTCCCTCCCTGCTCCCCACAAAATGTAATATTTTTAAAGTTAACAACAAAGAAGATTAAAGACCAAAGAAACGTGGATGCCCACTCCTCGGAAATCAACTCCAGTGGCTTCTCACAGTAGCCCCAGACACTGACTATGCCTTTACTCTTTATCTACGCTGTGGGTCACCTGAGCACCACAGCACACATTCTGTATGTGAGCAGAGAATGTGCTGAGTAAGTTGGGCGTCTACCTACAACCTGGATAACAAGCAAACATGCACAGTGCCAGAAGGTCCACAGCTCGGAGGCTACCCGCAAGTGGAGGCCGCCCCTGCCCATATGTGGCGTTCCCCAACAGATACAGGAAAGAAAGGATGGAAGACACAAGGGCCAGGCAGAACATACTCTTAGCTTCGGGCAGCAGGCTTCTGACCACATACCATAGCTCTGAAAAGTTCCGGATCTAAACTCACCCAGCCTAATCCTTGTGAGTGCCTTCAAAACTGACGGTATCATTCATACATGTGAAGCTTCTTGTCTATAGGGTGCAGGGTGATCATCACCTTGGAAGCGACAGCAGGGCTTTCCTGATCTAGCTGTGAACGTGCTCTCTCTACCCTGTACCTCCCTGTTGGAAACAATGGCACTCACCTTCTCCATCGGCACTCATGTTCTCGTAGGAGTCCCAGCGAATGAGGGGGTCTGCTGTGTTGTAGTCCACCATCACTCCCTGGTCACTGTACAGATGCTCCGATCCTAGGGGGCACAACAGGTCTGTTACTTAGCAAAAGCCAGCATCTCAAAATGCCCCAGGAAGTTTTAACATGTGAGCCTTGTATTTAATGGTTCCTCCCCAACTCTCTAACAATGAGCCTAGTAAAAGCGTGATAACTTTCTCAGTGCCAGGCATGGTAACACACTGCTACAATCAATCTCAGCACTGGGAAGCTAGAGGCAGGATGATCTGGAGGTCACAGCCTATGTTACAAAGTAATCACCTGAAACTGTCATACAGGGAGGCCTGACATCAGATTGTAAAGTTTCACGACAGTAGTAAAATATATATATATATTTCTTATTAAACCTATTTTTAGAAATAGACATTTAGTGTATTGTACTGGCAATCCTTCTTAAACCCTTTTTTCTGAGGAGAGAAGCAAGCATTTGGTACAGCCTCAAAGATGTCAGGTGAAGTCTCAGGGACACCAGCAGGTACCGTAGCCTGCCAGGACGCCTTAGGTGGAGTCACCTTGGGCAAGTCATGTTACCCTTTGGTCTTTCCCTAGTGCTCGTGTCTCAGAGCCACCTCTCCCTTATTATGCAATATGTACTTAAAAAATAGTAATAATTCAAATCCAAGCTTACTAGTAGAGCACATGCCTAGAATACACAAGCCCCAAGCAGGACCACTAACACACACACATTCCCAAGTATGTGCCAAGACTGGAGGTGTTACTATAAATTCAATGTCCTCAAAACTGACTCCAGCCTGAGTTAGAGTCTGGCTGCCCACTGTCCTGCCAGGTACCTACCTTGAATCTTCTCAGGTGTGGCTGAGAAGACCAATTCAATCTTGCCGTAGTCAGGGAAACGGTCATCTGTAAAAAGAACCACATCACACGGTGTACACACTGATCCCACCCTTCCAGCTCAGCCAGTGCAAGGCCGTTCCAAAAGCTGCGACTGAATGCCCTCATTTGCACAGAGTGTCAGCCTTTTCCTGCTTTCTCCGAGTTGTTCATCCACAGATCAACTCGGTCTTGCTTATGTTGGCAGTTAACTCCACCAGCAGGTGGGAAGGAAGATAGGGAAGGACACTGCTTCTGACATCCCAACGGGCTTCATCCACTCACCTTTGCAGGCACTGTCCAGCTCCTCCTTCCCAAACAGAAGCCCGTAACCTTGCACAGCTCCGGTATGGAACTGCAGGCGGAAAATGACATCACGGGTGGCCGAGCGGAACTTCTTGTGATAGCATTTCACCTAGTTCAAGAGGGGAAGGGAAGACAGGCAATGGCTGAGAGGCAGAGAGAGCTCACTGCTTAACATTGAAGTGTGCATGGTGTGGCATGGCCCCTGAACAACTGGGGCCAGGAATTCACACTGGAAATGGACATCAGAAGATACCAGAGAGGCCGATAGTCGGCACCATCATTGACAGTCTCCCTATGGGTCATGTTATCTTGAGAGAAGAAAAGTCCTAAAAGACCATACAGTCCTTTGTCCTGGGATGGGCCACACCCTTCAAACAGAGAGCTGTATTAGAAGACATCTGTGGTCTCTCGTCTAGCTCTAAACAGCTGACTGTGATGACATTTCCCTTTCATCTAAAATGCCCACGTTTCCACAGAAGGCCTCCTGGTTTTCACACCATGAAAACACTGGTTATTGTTGTCATCTTGTTGTTGAGTAAATAGGCTAGAACACGAGGTGGAAGGAGCTTGGGAAATGGGGGGAGACTGAGGCCCAGGCAGACAGACAAGCATCAGTGCTGATTCCCTTGCCGGGTGCCCAGGGGTCCTAAAGATAGCATTTAAAGGAAGTTTTAGAACCACCTCTGTGATAGAACAGAGGCTGTGGTGTCCTACCTCAGGCGCGGCTCAAGATACCCTGGATGTCTACCTTGACAAGCAGGATGGAGGGACTATAGGCAGATGGTGGCCAGAGAGTATGTGCCTAGTGTGCTCTGTCCTCACTTCCTACCAAAGGCCTCCCTGCGCCAGTAGGGAGAAGGCATGCTGTGAAAGGGACCTCACTCTGGTGACACAGAAAGAGCCACAAGCTAGCAGTGCCTTGCCAGGGTCTCCAGGAATCCAACGCAGACTGAGCTGGACTCAACATTTGAGACTACCCAGTGCCCAGGGTGGCACGCTGTGCCATAGGCTTGCCTATGCAGTGCAGACACTTTCTGTCAGAGACTCTTCCTGGTGAAGGATGGCTTGAAAAACATCATGCTTCACAAATCTAAGTGGGAAGCAGGGCACCAAACATCAACACCCTCCAGAGAGGCAGGAGATGTGCAGGTAACAGCTCAACCATCCTCCTACCAGGGAAACCAGCCACAGAAGCTCCAGAAAGGAGAAGACCAAGAAGCCTAGGCAGGAAGGCTGGGAACCACAGCTCTTAGGCAGACCCAGAACTTGTTTACATTGTACTATCTACTGGGAAACAGTCTGAGCCTGCAAGGGATGCACCCCATTGAAAAACACCCATGGGATCCTCCCAACCACACCCCTGCTAGGCTGAAGACAGACCCCATCTCCAACAGTTTCGGTATAACTTGCAGCTATCAATCAAGAATCAGAAATGAAGACCCAATGAATAGCAGGCTGGGCCCAAGTCTTCCACTCCCTGTTGTAGAGTACTTAACTCAGCAGCAGGGCTCAAACCCAAAATGGTCCTTGTAATCCTTGTAATCAAAGACAGCCTCTGGAATGTTCTTCCGGGCCCTCATGCCTCACACTGACTACCCTTCAAATGCTTTATCCTTCTGAGCCACAGCCGATTCCTCATTGCCCTCCAGTAAAGCCCTGTGCCCTGACATCCTGTCCTGTTCTCCACTGGCTGCCCTGGAAGATGAGAAGTAAGCAGGGTCAGGGTGGGGATGGGAGAGGAAACGTGAGGTCCCTTTCAAGCCTGTCTTGCTCTCAAATTGTACCCATTTTTAGGAGAATAAATACTTGAAGAGCAAGGTCTCAGGAAGTCAGAGCAGAAAGGGGACACAGATCTAACTGGGACCACCTGAATACATGCATGGGAGTGAGGGATGATTGCTAGGAAGCAGTGGCCTGTGAACCTGGCGGGGTGGAAACAGAGGCATCAGAGATCCCAGCCCCGGGAAGAAGGAGATCTAATGCAGCCACAGTTGTTTCTGTTCTCAATGGGTTTTTCTACCTTTCCATCCACTCAAGTTACTAAGATTCGTATCCTGTGGCCATGTCCCCAGTCCTTTCCTCTTCCCCAGATCCTTCCTGGGGTTAGGTATCCTGAGCATATTTTACTATGGCCATCACTCAGCTACACACAAACATTTGACTCACAACCCAGGCATCCCAACTCTGCCCAAGCGAGGTGTGGGAGGAAAAGGATGAGTATCCACAGGTTGGGCGGCTCCTCAGCACCTTGGGCCCAGTGTGATCTCCTGCTTGCAAATTCTTATGTTGCATATCACAAGGTCTCAACTCAAATACTCCTGGGAAAGAGTGACCTGTCACTAAGCAATGCTGTGCTGCATTCCTGTGACCTCTCCTGTGGGTATCCTAACAATGTCTCCATCACACACACACACAACTTCTTGCTTCTCACTGAACCTCCAGGGACCAGTAGGAGCAACAGCACTGCTCCAGCCCCAGCCTCAGGAACTCATGAACAGCTAAGGAAAGTCAGGTTTTCCTTCTCTCAGGACCCCCCAAAGGCCCACCAACACAGCAGATCAGCCTTTGAGAAGAGGCCTATTAACCAAGACCCTGGTCTGGTGACCTCTGACACCCACAAGAAGGTCCAATAATGACCCACTCACTATCAGTATCAATTAATCTTTGTAGCAACAGTGGTCAAAGATCAGAACTGTGTTCTGTACCCTGATTGGAAAGGACAACACTGTGCTTGACATGGGCCCAGCCCCCTCCTCCCCAGAGGCCACTCTTAAGACAGAAAGTGTTTTGTAAAGATTATAAAGACACAAAACCTCACTTTGGTCCTCTGATTTTAACACATACTTACTAACTCAAGTCTCCACAGAATGTTCCTAGACTACCATGACCCTCTGCTTCAGATTCTAGATTTTTGTTTGAAACAATTTAGTGTGGTGGTCACAGTACTGTGGTAAGTATCCTATTGACTGATGACAGTCTGTCAGAGAGTCCACCTAGGAGCATGAGAACATCTGCACTGACCCCAGTACCCATTACTCATGGATGCTGAACCTTTCATTCTTTAGCTGTAAGATGAACAGCAGCTTTACTACACGGAGTTTATTGCTACTAAGTACCAAGAGAGCTTACCTGTCTGTGACATCTTCATATTATATGAAGTCTATCCTGTCTGTACCGGCAGACTACCTATCTAGAGATTCTATCAACCTCAGAACACATGTAGGCCTTTTTTTCTCATGGCCATTCCCTACATAATATGGAATATTACTTACTTGGCACCTACACTGAATTAGCAGGTGTGATGAGCAATCTAGAGATTGTTTGAAATATGTTGGAAATGTGCACAGGTTGTATGCAAACATTTTGCTATTTATTTTTCTTGTTTTTTTTTAATTTTTTTTTTTTGCTTTCTCTGTGTAGTCTTGGCTGTTCTGGATTCACATTGTAGACCAGGCTGTCCTAGAACTCACAAAGATCTGCCTGCCTCTGCCTGCCACTGCATCCAGCTTAACACTTAGCTATTTTATAAGGAACTTGAACATCTTCAGATATTTGTATCCAAGCAAGCCCTAGAGATAATCACACATAAACACTGATAGGGTAGCCAGGTAAGCTACCCTATTTAATAATTAACTTAAAAGCACAAGCTTCTGAAAGGAAACGTTGGTGCTCAAACTCACTGTTGGCGGCAATGGCCATGGAAAGGTCTGTGTGGTTTTCTTTGCTTGTTGTCTGAGTAAACATTCTGGAAAGCCTGACCTAATCTTTAATCTTTTTTCCTTATATTTGCATGAAGATACATCTGTACCCTCAATTGGATGCTAGAATGATGGGGCCTGGGACTGGTGAAAAGCTGAGTCCTCAAGGTACCTGAGCCAAGTGTGAAGCATATGTCTGCAAACCCAGCACTTAGAAGGCCGAGAAGGAAGAAGAACAATGCCTAAGCTGAGCGAGTCGAGTCTGAAAGTCAAGTTTCTATTCTCTTCCCCGTGTGCTAGGCACTGGCAAGTGAGATCCAAAATTCCTCTTAAATTCTCCAGGCAAAACAATCAGAGTACTAGAAGATGCCCAAGAGAAGCAGAGGTCCCACTTCGGCCCAACTCGGCTTGTTGGGACTATCTAGGCTAAAGATCAAAGAGAGCTGCCATGGTGTCCCTCAGAGCTGAGCATGACTGAGGTGGTCACAACACTGTCAGGTCATGAACAAAGAGCAATGAAAGGTGAGCAGATATCAGTTGCAACCAAACCACAACTGAGACTACGATGCTGAATGGCAGCATGGATGAAGGCCTGACCCAGTGCTAGGTCCACAGCATAACCAAGTAAGAATGCAAATCAGAAATCAACACAGTCTCAGATATAACAGAGACCCATCCATCCCCAGGGCTTCTGCTGGGGCAGCTGTGGAGGGGCGATTCCACTCTCCATGGCCGTACACCAGTACCCCCTGAAGAAAAACAACAAACAACGGTGCTATTTGTGCAACCTCTTCAGGAGGCTTCACCTGTGTTCACAAGCCCAGTCACAAAGCCAGCAACCATAAAGACAAACTACAAGTGGCTGTGGTTTGCCCGGGCAGTGAAGCAAGATGGAGCATGCCAGACGGAAAAAAATGTTTACAAGCCCTGGACCAAGTGCTGAGACGGGGAGGGGGCAAGCTGGCTCAGGCCCCAGGCTCCCTGCCAGGTTCCTGGCGGGCCTGCAGCAGCGTGAATTCCTGAGCAGGTTACATAAGCTACAAGCAGCCTCCCCAAGAAAGAGCCTTGCACCTGACCACAGCATACTTTGAGGCAGGACCACAAAATCTGACCTTTCCTGAGAAGTGCTTTGGAAAGACAGGAGGGTTCCGCTAACAAAGGTCAGAGGGATGTCCCAAAGCAGATACATCAATGTCAGCTTTGCTGGTGCCAATCACAGTGCCATCTGCTGGCCACCAGTCAAAAGATAATAAAGGGTTCCATTTCCCAAGAGGTTCCCCGACCACTTAAAGCTGATTCTGGCTGGTCCTTCTAAACCTGATCCTTGCTATCTTTGCCAAACTTTCTCAGTGCAGAAAAAAAGGGGGCAGATGTAACTGCACACAAGGTGAACAGTCACTGAAATGAAGGA